CCCCCCCCCCCCCCGGTGAAAGGGTCTTCCTTAAAAGAAAAAAAAAAGGGTTTTCATTTTTCGCCTTTTCTTTTCTTGTTTTGACAAGAATCTTCCTAGATTCTTAATTTGGTATCTTAGCTTTTAACAACAAAATTAACACTACATATATTATAATACGAAGCCCAACATGAAGAATCCCATACCTAAAATCAAATATTGTCAAAAAAAAAATTTCGATAGTAAAGTTATTTTAGGAGAATAATTTTCAAATGCTCGGTCCTACCGAGAGAAATAAAATAAGGCCATACTTTTCAAATATTTAAGGTTCAAGTAGCTCTAAGAGAACCTAGGAAATTCAGATGCACCCATGGTTTTTGGTTATGAGAAGCTTGGACCTGTCTTTGGAAGAACGACTAGCGGTTATAATTAATTGTCATCTAGCAGACAAACACATGCATAGACCTTGTATTAATCTTCCAATTAACTAATGACTTATTGGTAAGGCCTGAGAGAGCATGAGATGAACATCAATTAGAGATTAGTCCTGTAGACCACTTTGAGATCTTTATACCAAAGTGTGTATGTCACATGGATATATATGTTGATTGCCCATGGTTTTGGCTTAACAAGTGTGATTGGTTGGTAAACCTAATTGAAATGTCGCTCGTTGCCATGCACTTCGGCATCTGAAGGAAGTTTCTATATATTGTTGATTGCCCATGGTTTTGGCTTAACAAGTGTGATTGGTTGGTAAACCTAATTGAAATGTCGCTCGTTGCCATGCACTTCGGCACCTGAAGGAAGTTTCTCCTCAGCCTCCCCCGACCTCAGGCTTGGCAACACGTAGAAGTATTTTTTGGGAAAATGGTCATAGTTTGGTGGATCTGTTGTTGTCGAGTTCGGAGTTCGCAAAACCGTGAACGAGATTCTCTCTCAAAACCCTAGGAAATACTTCAAAATTGAGTTACACGGACAAACAAGTTGTGAACAGAACCATTTTAACCGGATAATTACGAAACCTACAACAAACAGAATAACAAGCAAGAGAACATAGAGAGAGAGAGAGAATCATGATTCGAACGATCGACCTGTGCTCTGATATCATGTTAGACAACTTGTTTTGCCCAAAAGTTTAAACTATCAGGAAACGAGCCAATAATGTATTTATAGCGTATGATTTAATAGAAGCGAATGGCCGAGATGTTCACCTTCCACCGGTCTGTGGAGATCGAAAAACTCTCAATCTTGATCACCCTAAAAAAAATCACAAATTGGGCTTGAGGAAAAGGGATTCCCTTAACAGTTAACCGTAGTCCTAAATGGATCTTTTGACGAGACTCAACGCTTAGAGCTCATAAAAGAAAGATTAGGATCTTTACTTGCTTCAGTATGGGGGTTAATTTGTGCAAGATATTAACTACGCAACGACGCGATAGATTTTCTGATCTGTTTTACTTTAACTTTCATCTCTCTCTCGAACTTACTCTGCAATCCACATCTAAAATTAATGATCCTCACAATACCTAATTCCCTTACGACCGGGCTTGTGCCCGGTGGGTGGCTTTTAAACATCTTAATACATCGAAATTACTTAAGAATTAAAGGGTGGAAAAAAAATATATAAAGAGCGCACGAAAGGTTTCAAAGTTCACTAACAAGTGGCACAAAAAGGTTCGTCAACAGTCTGCTTATTATCATTATCTAGAAGAAAAATCAGAAAAGGCTAATCAAGAGAGAATCGAACTAGAACTTGACTACTGAATGGGACCTTATCTTAAAAATCTGTCACGGATCGAATTCCCCAATTTCACTTCTTGCATGGCTGCTAAGAGAAAAAGAAATCTTGGAAACAGAAAAATGATGCTACAAATTTTTTTTTTGACTTTCGTAGAACTAAAGTTGCCATGCTTCTCGGCACTTGAACTGGATACAAAGGATGAAACCCCAATCTCACTATTGGCAACCCTCTCTCTAAAAAAAAACCCTCCCTCGAAGAAACTTCACCGGCAGCCTCTCAGCGGAGAGCCTACTGTGCTCTACTTTTCTATTCTCCTGATCTAATATGGGCGTCTTCTTTCGCTCGACGTGATTTCTTTCGTTCACTCATCGTGGTGAGTAAATCCACTTGCGGTTGAAAATATTGTGAGAATGTCGTCACCAGTCTAGTCAGCAGGATGCCTAGGACGTGGTTTCATGACTTCTTTGAAATTCAGCGGAAGCTCTCCTCTCCTAATTTAGGTGTAGATCTAAATTTGGAAGCTCTTCTCTCTTGATCCATATCTAGATTTGAGAATTTTTTAGAGGCATTCAGTCTGTGGTGTTCAACATTTTTGTTGTTGTTGTATTTGTATGATGATGGTGTTGAGGATGCCGAATCTAGGTGCGCACTACAAGCCGTAGTTTTTGGAAGGGCTCGACATGTGTCCTTCATCAGTGACGGTTCCAATGATCGGTCATCGATTTTTTTTTATGTTGTGACAGATCTAGTCTTTTGGGATGAGAGCGTGCTTATAGCTTCAAGTTATACCTTCTTTTTTTTTTATGGGTTTTGGCTTGGTATGCAGCTCTTTTGGGATTTGCATTGCTTGAAAGTTTTCTATACATCTCTCATGTTTGATTATGACAAATGAATGAAATTTTTTTCGACCAAAAAAAAGAAGGAGATAAACGGGAAAAAGAAGGGATTTACTTAGAAAAAGAAATCATATGATAGGCTAAGAATTCTCACTCAGTTAAAAGGAATTAAAAAAAAAAGTCGCGTGATTTTCAACTCTGCAACTGGATGTCACATGTTCGAATTTCACCAACTACGTTCAAACTGCACCTAAACAGGCCAAAGATAATGAGATGTACTACGTATTCCATGGGGTTTCAGCTAGTGTGTCCCTAAATTACAAGAAAAAAAGATGAAATAAAATTAGCCCGGAAAAAGTCTCGAGGGACGAATTACATTGATTTGGTGGGAAAGAAAAACCGGAATACATAGGCTAATTAAAGTGAACATTAATTATGATACTTATTTGGCAAGGTCCTAAAATAGCATTAAGGATAACTCATTGGAAACTAAATGGGAACAAATAAAAAGCAATATCATACGATATACATATGAGAAAATTATTGCAAATCATAAAATTTTGTACAGAATGAATCAAAACCTCAATATTTCAAGGATTTTTATTAGGTCCATAGCCGGTTTAGAAAATTATTTACACACTCGCCATTGGATCGTAGACACGTGGAAAAGTGAGATTTAAATTATTTAATGAGGAAATATTGATTTAAAATTTAGAATTCATGAGAGGTTTACAGGATGAGATGGTGCTGTTGTAGGACCATACTGGCCATTATTTAGGAATATGTACAGGCGACGTATCTCATAACGAGTGTGGACTTTTCATGAAATTTTTTGGTAAGAAGTTTGAGGGCGAATATTATTTTAACCTTAGCCTCGAGGATAATGACATAAATGATCCTTAAACTTTAGCTAAATATGCAATGCGATTCCTGAATGTTAACCCAATATTCAACGTTGTTCAACTCGTCCCACAACTTTTATTGGTAAATGTTCAAGCTAATCCCTAAATTATATGAAAATATCTAATGTTAAACTTCTATTAATTTACGTTCAGGACAATATTGAACATTTTCATAGAGTCTAAAGACTAGTTTGAACATTTATCAAAAGTTCAAGTATCATATTGAACAAATGAAAAGTTTGGGGACAATATTGCACATATGCTAAAATTCAATAACCACATCGAACATATTAAAAGTTCATGAACCATATTACACATTTAGAGATCACATTGAACAAATTAAAAATTTACGGACCATATTACACATTAGGTCAAAGTTCAATGACCATTTATGTCATTTTCCCTTATCTTTACAAGATAAAGCGATAAGATTTAAGCCTTATGATACAGATTTTTTTTTCTTCTAGGATGCATGATCGGAACCGGCGCTCCCCAAGTAATTGTCACATAGACGGATTCCCCCATGACACGCCAGATGAAAGGTATGTGGCATCCTAGCGTGATCAAGGGATGGAAAAATTTGGAAAAGTCTCCTCACAACAATATTCGTGGTGTCTATCCCTTACTTACTTCGCACGGATGAGCTCCAATTTCAACAAGGTATACCATCTCAAAGGAATCGTCCTTTCATGATCTAGGGTGGGTGGATAGACTTACATAGTGCCGAATTTCAATTGTTGGTGGTAGGTAGTGACTTTCATAGCTTTACCAAAGTTTCATCAGTTAAATTTCTCACTTGATGTTGTCAGCTTTTCTTTCAAATATTGGCAATTTCCGTGTAAAAAAAAGAATGGAACGAGCTCCGTATGATTTTTTTTTTCCAAAAATCCCATAGTTTATTTTACTAAAAAATAAAAATAAAAAATTGTATATGTAGTCGATCCATTCTAGTTCGGTTCCTTTTGGAACTGGGAACCGGACCAACCGAGCACAGATTCTACTTTTAGGAATTGGAAACCGGACCAAACTGGCCAATTCGATCCTATCCGGATGATTCTCAATTTGAACGGTCCATTTTGCAGGCCCTACATCCGCACCGGGCAGGGCGAGTCAAAAGATCCGGGACCGCGGGTCCAGGCGAGCTCGCCGTGCGACCGCCCGCAGCCGAGCCCCGCCCCTCCGGGGCCAAAATGGGCACGCGGCATCGTAATAATGCCGCGGATACAGACAAAAGACAAGTTGCGCTGGGCCCCCCCCCCCCCCCTCCCTCGGCCCATCGTACGCGTCAACATCTGCCGCACCAGAATCATCGCCCTCCTCCTCCTCTCTCCCCCACCCCTCCACATGCGCTCGCCCAAAACGCCCCAAAAATCACCGCCACCGCCCGGAATTTACCATCCTGCCCCTCCCACTCCTCCTCCCCCCGACGCCCCCTCCCTCTCTATAAAGCACGACCCTCCTCCTCCTCCCTTCCATTCCTCCTCCTCCCCATCATCTCCGATCACTCCGTAATTTCGCCTCTGAAGTTCGGACGGAGCTCGACCTGAGTGTCCAGTCCCTTCCCCGTTTAGGTTCGAGTTAGTCGTCGTGGCGTAGAGAGCGTAGAGAGAGAGAGAGAGAGAGGGAGAGAGAGAGAGAGAGAGAGAATGTTGGGAGTGTTCAGCAGCTCGATCGTGTCCCCGCCCGACGAGCTGGTGGCGGCCGGCTGCCGGACGCCGTCGCCGAAGACGACGTCGGCGGAGCTCGTGCGGCGGTTCCTCCAGTCCAACGCCTCGGGGGTGTCGGTGCAGATCGGGGACCACGTGCAGCTGGCCTACACCCACCACAACGAGTCCCCGCTGCGGCCCAGGTAATAAAAAAAAGAACAAACCAACACGCCGAAACGAAACGAAACGAGAAACCAAAACCAAACCAAACGACACGAACCGTGAGCGTCGAGCGATGCGCGAGCTTCGCTCGAGACGACGACGTCAGTCGAGAGTGTGTTGAGATTGATTCTTGCATGTCGACATGAGCTTTGCCGATCGACCGGGCGCGATCGGCTTGGTCGGGACGAAATCCTTGAGCTGAAAATGGCATAATCTGCATGCTTTAGCCGAATTTCCACACGAGCCTTAAATTTGCATGTTCGACCGTGGCTGTCAAGAGCCGAAAGATTACTCAAATCTTAAAGGGGGAGATGTTGAAATTCGAACCCGGATTACGGAACCGACGTGGGATGCGTTGCGTTCGGACCGACGTTTCGATTGTTAACTATGTAATTTGCCAAAACATCTTTGGAGATATCTTTAAGCTCTTGGAAATTCTGGGTTGTTCTAATTTTCCCCAGAGAATAGGAGATTAGTGCCACCACAGGAAATTTCAGGGGCTCCGCCAGCGAAAAGATAAAAACCAAAGAAATTTTTTGACAAACGGTAAAGCAAACTATCAGGAGTTAAATCTCGTTCTTTTCGTTGATCTATGTTTCGCTCATGATGTCTGGTTTTTGTTGTGATTTGCCAAGTGATTCCAGCTTTGGTTTATAGTACTACCGGTTGATTTTCAGGATGTCCATGGCATAGGCTTGTAGTTAGTAGTAACCCCAGGAAAGCCGATTTCATTGAGACTCCGTTCGTGACGTGACCCGGTTGGTAAAGGACTTAGACTGGTAGTTTGCGTGATGATAATTCTACAGCTTAGAGGTGAAGCGATGAAAAAAGTGGCTCCTGAAATCTTCACTTTTGGAATTTTGAGAGCTTAGAGACTTGGCGTGACTGAAATTTGGACTCAGTTAAATCATAGTAAAGATCTCTACTTGTTGAATGGACTGCGTCAAGTATGTTTTTGATCCCCAGCTTGAAGATTGGCTTGTTCTGACGTTGCGTTCTGTTGTAACTCGATTGGCAGATCGTTTGCGGTTAAAGATGAGATTTTCTGCTTGTTCGAGGGAGTACTGGACAACCTGGGCAGTCTCAGGCAGCAGTACGGGCTTGCCAAGTCCGCGAACGAGGTGATCCTCGTCATCGAAGCGTACAAGGCGCTGCGTGACCGGGCTCCGTACCCTCCTAACCACATGGTCGGCCACCTGAGCGGGAATTTCGCTTTCATCGTCTTCGACGAGTCCACCTCCACTCTGTTCGTGGCTTCTGTAAGATATTCCGCCTGTCAAATTCTTGTGTTGGTTGAGGGAGCGTTTGCTTTGAATTGTCGCTAACGGCTGTTATTGACAGGATCAATATGGCAAGGTTCCTCTTTATTGGGGAATCACTGCCGATGGGTACGTCGCATTCGCGAATGACGCAGAGCTGCTCAAAGGTTCTTGTGGCAAGTCACTCGCTTCATTTCCTCAAGGTAGAGTCCGGGAATCGTGTACATATAAATATACTTCTCGATAGTCCGCAATTTTGTAGAACAATAAGAAATAGCCGTGCTCTATATGAGTAGTTTGGGCATTTCTTTGTCTCATGTTAAGGTGCTTCTCTCTGTTGACGAATTATGGTCACGCAGGATGCTTCTTCTCCACCGCAGTTGGGGAAATAAGATGCTACGAGAATCCGAAGAATAAGATCACTGCAGTTCCTGCAGATGAAGAGGAGATCTGGGGAGCAACATTCAAGGTAAACTTATTTATAATATAAATGTTGACTTCTATGAGATACTTGTTAAGTCGGTCAGTGGAGCTCTCGGACATTGGTGTAATAATCTTCCCGGCTACATATTGACCTGTTTTTTAGTCACCACAAGATTCTGTTGATAGTAATAAGGAAAGTGTAAGTCCTGTTTTTCTTTGACCACATTGAAATCAGATTCTGAAAGCTGCCTCATCTCATCATCTGCCCTTTGAAAAGGAGTCTGCTATTAGTCCTGTTATTCACTGACTATAAGTTGCTGGTGTGTGCTTAATGAGAATCACACAGATGCTGCTTCTCAAGAGCTTTATGTTCTTGGAAGATATGATTGCTTATGCAGTAAGAGTAGACTAAGTTGCATCACATGGTAAATCCAAAATCACAAATACCCTCTTCATATTGACTGGCGTGATCCTTGATTGAATTATAGACCAAACATCTATCCCGTTGGAAAGTCTGACAAGGTAGACCTACCTTAAATTTATTGGCAATTGGGGGTGGTTGCATCTTCATCTGTTCCTTCACTAAATTTTATGGATAATATGACAAGCATGCGGGACTACTTCGAGTCGCTGCCTGGTTCATCTACCATTGATTTTCTTTGGGTCAGTGTACCCATTTGTCCATATCCATCGAACTCGAAACAGAAACCTGAGCTCATCCGCATATAAACCCTCCACTCCACCCCACTGACATGTCAATTTGTGGGTATGGAATTTCAGGTGGAAGGGCCAGCAGCAGTTCTTGCAGCCACAGAATGAGATGAAACCGGGGTGTCCTGTAATGTTGATGTTTGAAGTTATGTACCCATCTGAGGAAAGAGAGGGAGACATGTTCCTGTGGCTTTTGGTGGTTCATGACTCAGGAGAGCTCAATACAGATCCAACGAAGTGTAAAGAGAGAGAGAGGGAGAGAGAGTGGGGTCGTGGGGGAGATGTGAACTGGTGGTGGTCAGTTGGAGGGAGTTGCAACTGTTGTAATCCTTTGTAGCTTAGGTTTGAGTTTTCCTTTTGCTGTTGCTCATTTGATTTTTATCTTTTGACCAATGTACAAGTTACGGCTATGCTGTCCTGTGTGTCTAATAAAAGCTTGGTTGAAAGTTGGGTTGTGTTATTATTTGCATTTCTTTTCTTTGCCCAAGTTTGTGCAGTTGCTTCAAGTGAACGATGATTATATCCTTGGACAATTAGGTGAAGTAGAGAGGTATCCTAGGTGGTTCTTAAGCACTAAAGTGACATCTTAAATTATTCAATGAGGTCTGTACTATTTAGCTCAAGTTTTTTTAACAAAACGTGTGCGATCAATTATGAATTCATAAGCGGTCGTAAATAAAAGTTGTTAATTATTCTATATGGCTTATGTGATTCAAAAGATGAGACTATCGACAAAACTTACCAAATTTTATCCAGGTTGGTTCTACCCAAAAAGAATCTTCTCCACTTATAATGACAAGAGGACGATAGGATGGTGACATTGACATTGTGAAATTGATGGGAGAGACTATAAAAATATAGTTACTTTTCTTTCAACATGGTAAAGAAAAAGGGTAAAAGGCACCAACAATTCCAAAATTCCAAAATTTATCCTCCGTAACACATTTATCTCAAAATTATTTTTTGGGACACCAAAAATTTCGAACTAATATCTATATGACACATTTACTTCACGTTTCACATTTACCCCAAACTTCTTCTTATGACACTAAAAAATAATTTTAGTTATTTTACTGTATCTTACTATTCGATTTGATTCACAACTCATAAATTTAAGATTTTGATTCACAATGTATATCTCGGTTTGGTAACTATGGTCAAAATACTCGTAAACAAGGATGTGTTTTCCCGTATGTTTTGGGCTTTGAACGCATGGAGCTTCTTTCGTCCTCATCACCAAAAATGAGAAAAGGCCCATCAAGTTTTCTACGCAACAGTAAACCAACTTGAGCCCAAGTTTTGTTTGCTGCTTAACACACTAAAACCGCGAAGACGCCGCTTCATCCGACGAAGATCCTGGCTAAGCTCCGAATCGCCGGGTTCGTAGTTTTTCTCAACGAACCATATAACAAAACATGTCCCCAGTTTAACAGGCCGAAATCATCGGCTTCGGTCCGGGATTTGAAACTCCAATCGACGAATAATTTACCGACGAGGTTTCGGCATTGCTATCTCGAGTCAGAAATCTCGGCTAGACAAGTCTCTAGACCCTCTTGATCCACACGTGCAATTATTTCCTTTTTGCCCTGTCCTATCTCTAGCTCTCTCTCTCTCTCTCTCTCTGACTTCTACTCTTCCTCTTGCAGAGCGAGGGAGTCGAACCCCGCACCCCATGATACCAGCAATCCCTTTACTAATAGGGTCGCATGTCTATCGGCATACGTGCAAATATCAGATAGCCCAAGGTTGAAAGCTTTCTGTAGGTTTTCCTTGTCTCGGTCTTTTTGGGCCCAAAAAGGACGGCCCACATTCGATCCGGCCCAGCCCAAAATCTACACCCCCGGCCGACAAATTTGTTTTTGTCCGGGCGCTGTTCCGACGACGTGGCCGCCTCCCCGACCGAGCCACGTGCCCGCCCGTGGCGTCACTCCCCCACGGCGGGGGAGCCGCCCGACAGATCACGCGCCGAGGGAAAAGACCGGCCATCAAATAAGAAAGGAATCTCGGAGGGCAATATGGTCACACGACGTGGCGAAAAAGCTTCGGGGTTCGGGTCAAGACGACAAAGCGTTCTCGGGTCAAGACGGCGAAACGGGGAGTCGCGCTGTCCTCTCTCCCTCCCCCCACGCACGGCCTTCTGCGAAAGTCGTATCGCAGCCCGAAGGAAGGCAGAAGAAGGAAGAAATAGAGAGAGAGAAAGGCAAAGGCAAAGGCAAAGGCAAAGGAAAATTTTGAGGGAATTTTGCGAAAAGGGGAGAAGGAAATCACTCTCATCTTTCCACTCTTTCTCTCTCTCTCTCTCTCTCTCTCCGTGTGCGCGGCTGTGATTCTCTTTATGGTGGGATTCCTGGCAGCAAAGGAGGTTCGATTTTGAGTGGAGAGGGGTATGTCAACTGTTGCTGCTGCTGCTTCTCTCTACCTACTTTTTCTCCTCTCGTGGTTTTCTTGGCTTCTTTTTTTCGGTCTTTGTTTTTCCTCCCCCTTTTGGGTGCTGTCGTTCCTCGTCTCGTCGTGCGTTTAACGTTTTCTTGTTCCTTTTCCCCGATGTGTTGACAACCCATCCCCGGTCTTGACTTGGGTCTTCCTTACCTGTTGACAGGATTTCGGAGCGGCTCCGTGGGTCGCTGAAGCGAAGGGAGAAGCAGCAGAGACGAGGTGCAAGCTCCGTGCTTTTCTTCTTTCATTTTCTTTCTTTTTTTGTTGCTGCTTCTTTCGAATTCGTGCATCGGCTCTTTTTGTTGGAGGGTAAGGGGAGATGGGTCGGGGTTTAAGTCGAAATCTGGTCCGGTGGAGTGTTTTTCTCTCTTTGCATGCATCTGTTTTCAGTGCTCATGTGCTGGTGGCTGTGTTACGGGAGGGACCCAGTTGGGGTTTGGGCTGCTTGTTCTGTATCGGCTGAACCGTAGAGCATTGATTAGATCAGTTATGCGCTTCTTTTAGAAATTTTTTATTGGGAAACTTTTTTCTGAGTAGTTAGCTGAATCATGCCCGGAGTATCAGTAGCATGGGCCATGGGGTGTTTGTGCGGCATGGCTTGATATGGGGCCATGTAATTGCTGATCAGGTTTATCAGATTCGGCCTGATAAAAGGGGAAAATTTTGGCACAGCAATTTTACTTGTACGGTCGTATGTGATTGTGCTGATTCTATGATTTTCTTTTTGAAGAAGTTGCGGATTTTTTGTACTAATCCTTGCAAATATATACTCAGAGATGGTGGATCTACCTTGTAGAGTTTAGAGATCACCTTTGGGATAGGGTTATTTGGTTTATTGTTATTACGGTATGTTGGAGAAGTTTTGCTTTGATAAGTTTCTTTGTGCTTGATAGTATATATGTTTTATTGTTTGAGCTCATCAACCTTTTGTGCTGGATTGTATATATTTGTTCTGTTGAGGTTGGAGTTTGAGCCGTAAATTGTCAATCTTTTGGTTGTGAAAGTGTTGTCCTTTCTTAGTTTCAGTGAATAGAGTAGATCTTTGTTTGGTTTAAGGGATTAGCACAGCTTGCAGCGTGGAGTGCTTGATATAATAGGAAGGTGTGTATGTTTTAAGTAGGGCCACAATGTGATAGATTGAGTTGTCTCTTCAGTGTTAGTCAATTGACCGTTTGCTGCTATGCTGATATGTCAGACCATTGTCTGTACCGGAAACCTGTAATGGAATTCATATACATAATCCACTTGCTGATACCCTTAGGTTAAACTGATTAGGAGCTCCTAAGAGGGGATTGCCTAGCTGTTTTTCTGTTTTTCAGTGACCTGTTCTGTTTTTGTGCTTTGACTACTAAAAAACACATAGTTGGTAATTTAGATGTAATAAGATGGGTGGCTTGCATAAGAGTATCACTCTTGGGAAGTTTAGTGCTTTTTACATAGTTCAGACAGGGCTTTCATATGTAGAAATTTTGTCTTGTGTACTTGTTGTAGTTGAGTGGGAATACTAGTGAAAGCCAAAACCTGTGGTTAGCCTTAAAGCCTTAGGACTCTTATCATCTTATGTTTGAGGGTTGCTATGTACTGGGCTCCTTGAGATGCAAAGCGGGGATGCATGAATTTAGACCATTTACTTTATGGAATTGCATCCAAAGACTTATGCAAAAGATTCTGCTTGCTTCTTGTTGTTATGTTGGCACCCATACATGCACAGAGAGAAAGTTTGCTTCGTGCTTGCTTTAGCAACTGGACAGTTACAGTCTGATTCTTTATAGCATTTGGCTCTTTCAGGTTGAATAGGAATCTCTTTAACTATTGGAGAACAGTGCACGATGTATTTAATTTCTTATAACTCCCATGCAAAGTTTGGTAGGATGACAAAAGTTTTAAAATTCCAACCCGTATATGGGACAAGTAAGTGTAAAGAAGAAAAGCAATAAATAGTTGAAAAGGGGTGTAAGAAATCGAATATGATACCTCTAGCTATGGTACCGTAGTTGAGTGCACAAACCTTTTCTTTTTGAAAGTTGAAACTAATAAAGAAGGATGTGAAATATAGGTAATACTAGCCCTCTACCTGAGCTTCTCAATCTTTCCTCTTGCCATTGTCTAGAGAAAATTTTGGAGTTCTTTCTAAATATTGATATTGGGCTCTTAATCTGGTTAGAATATTAAATTGTGGTTAGAAAGCATGCTGTGTGGTGGAATTCTTATGTTTATGTCATGTAGTATTCTCACGTGGCATCACTGAGAGCATTTATACTAGTTGCAATTTTTTAACATTAGAATAACATGTTACCATGTCATACAAATTTAAATATTTGATTGAGCATCATTACCATCTTGGTATGCCTCGTGGTATTGCCATTGGATGAAATATCTTTTTTTTTTTCCATTTAAAGGATATGTTGTTAAGATGTTCATTCATTGTCTATGAATTAGTGTGAATTGTTGTCAATGTAGGATTACCTTCGAGTTTTGTTGGTCTGGATTTCTTCATCATTTGGTGTCTTTTGTCAGACAAAAGAGTCTTGATTTTTTCTTCAGTCGTCCTGCCTTTGATAGTCTTGGCGATTATGTCTTTTTGACGTGTTGTGTTGCAGTAAAAGCTCTTCAATACAGAGTCTCTTCCTTCTGCTTTGACATGGATCAGCAGGGGAATGGGCAGACCCCGGCAATAGGGGTCGTTAGCAGTACTGCTCAGATGTCATATGGTTTGAGTCCATATCAACCCAATCAAATAGCAGGCGGGGCTCCTCCTGGATCTGCCGGACAAATGCAACCTCCTCAGCCTGCTCCTTCAGCTCAACTTGCGCAGCATCAGCTTGCATATCAGCACATCCACCAGCAACAGCAGCAACAACTACAGCAGCAGCTTCAGAACTTCTGGACGAATCAGTATCAAGAAATTGAGCAGACCACCGACTTCAAGAACCACAGCCTGCCGTTAGCTCGAATCAAGAAGATCATGAAGGCCGATGAGGACGTGAGGATGATATCTGCTGAAGCTCCTGTCATATTTGCCAGGGCTTGTGAGATGTTCATTCTGGAGCTGACCCTCCGTTCCTGGAACCATACGGAGGAGAACAAGAGGAGGACCCTCCAGAAGAATGACATCGCAGCGGCGATCACGAGGACTGATATTTTTGATTTCTTGGTTGATATCGTGCCCAGAGAGGATTTGAGAGACGAAGTGCTCGCGTCGATCCCAAGGGGAGGAGGTCTTCCTGTGGGTCCTCCGGCCGAAGGCGTTCCTTACTACTATGTGCCATCTCAGCATGGTCCACAAATGGGTGTTCCTGGAGTCATTGCTAGTAGGCCTGTGGCGGATCAGTCTCTTTACAGCCAACAGCCTCACCCTTACATGCCTCCTCAGATGTGGCCACAGCAACAACCGCAACAACAGCAGCCGCCTGCCGATTCTTGAGCAAGGACGTGGGTGAGTTTGTGAGTTGATCAACAGGTTGAAGGTTGAAACATTGTAGCTTCTCGTGCTGCGAAAGGGAGACCTCGGTGGATCGAGTGGCCTGGCTGTTGTGTGTATATTATTGCCCTATCATTAGCTTCTTTCCTTGGGCTGTAGTAGTATGTGGATAGTTAATGCAACTTAGTTTGCAGGATTCCTTGGTACTTTCTTCTCCTTTGATGACATCTAATCCTTCATGCTTGTTTCCATCTGCAAAATCTTGACTTGGTTTTGGCCGATTGATTTGCTTTCCGATTTGGCCCTCGTAAGAAAGATACCCTCTCTCTCTCTCTCTCGCTCTCTCAAGCGAACATTGCAGAACCATGATGTACCAGGTACCCTACTGGCCCCAGTTCTTCAGGAGTGAAGTTTTAATGGATGGTACGGGTATAACCTTCCTAGAGACAAGGGGATGATCTTGTGCTCGCTTGCAGGTGCCTAGTTTATGACTTCCTTACGCTGAGCAGGGCACTGGCCCTTGGGAAGTATAGTCATTTTCGTGGCGCTACTCCGAACAGCTTCCCACGATGCGTGTCATTCAAACGACGAACCCATCTTCATCGGCAGCGCCATGAGGACCGACACCACAAACATTCACGCACATCAAGTCTCGATAGGCGTAGAGATGATATGGAATCAAGTTGAGCCGATGTTGTTGTGACCGGACTTGGCTCGAACATTTAAGGTTTGATACTGAACTGGGTGTCCGAAACTCTGTCTGAGATTAAGCTCAACTTTACTACCAAACACATCAAATCTACATTCATTCTCGTAATATATGCTTCGTTGTCTAAGCTGGGGCACCAGAGACGCACCCACGAAGAAATGCCCGCCGGGGTCTCTGTTTAACAAACAGTGCATTCATTCTTGGGCAGGGAACGACGTCACATTGACCTTGAGAGAGAGAGAGACAGAGAGAGGAAGATGAGGGACAGGACGAAGATGAACGCGATGAGGTCGGGGTTGGTCGTGATCGGAGCATTGGCGTTTGGTTATCTCACTCTGCAACTGGGTTTCAAGCCATTCCTCGAGAAAGCCCATGTCGCCGCCGCCGCCGACGCTTCTCCCTCTCCTCCGCAAGATCCCACCGCTCTTCGCGACGAGTAGAGTACGGTAGCTCATCGCCCTTCTGTCTTAATGTTGAATGTTTAGCAAAAAGACCAGTTCTTGTCGTTGAATCTCCCGTGGTCGAGCTTTATCGCATCGTAATTCGAATCTGGGTTGCTTGATTCATGTGGAGTTGTGGAGGTTTCATCTTGGGTTGGATGAGATGATTGTATGATGATGAGAGACGTCTCGCGTTTTATGGCTGAAACGATTATCGGCGAATCTCAGTGAAGTGAGAAAGTTTATCTTCTCGGAAAAGACGGTTCTTTTCTGTCCATATTTTTCATTTGACACACTGGTATGAACTGTGGCATTGTTTAGTTGTGCATTATATGAAAAATCGCGTGTCTTTAGTACTGCTTGATTTCATATGCTGTTTTGCTGATTATCTTTAACTTCAATAGTTGCGATTCCAATTTCCATGCGGTGGTGCTCATCGGAGTTTCCCGAGGGGTTCAGTATGCAAATATGAGCTTCAAAAAGAGGCGATAGACGAGTACATATTCGATTCTTTAAAACTGCCATATATGGCTTTCACTGATGCGTTGATGGATTGGCGAGCTGTGATCAGGTTATAACTTCTGTTGGGGGTCTCTTTGCTTCATATCTGCGGAAGAAAAGGAAGCTTGTGGTGACTGTTTCTGGGTTATAATTCATTTTTGCACCTCCTTTAGTGATTGTATGAACAAATTGGCCATATTTCTGGACACGAGCAATCAGTAAGTGGAGCAAAGCTCTACCCAAATTGTTAAATTGAATTTGTGGTTTTCCATTAGATATCTTGTGCTTGGATGAAGAGCAAGCGGAAGTTGTGCTTAGGAAGCTGGTTTTAACCTGCCGATGAGCAAGTTGTGCTGAGAAGGAATACATCTGATCATTACGCCTTTCTTTTATGATTGTTTTGCTTAAGGTAGAGCTTCTTTGCTTGTGAAGGGCTGCTTTTATATTGATGAAGTTTTTCTTGTAGATCCATCAGTAAGAATAGGATGGTTCTTTGATCAGACATTGGAGCCATCTGGCTGTGTCTAGTGATTTTCTTTGCTTTTATATTCATGCCTTTCGTGTAAGTTCTCTTTGCTGTTGAATGATCTTCTGCCAGCTGCTTCTTTCGATCTGTAAAAAAAAGGGAAATATGAGAAATGAGATGCAAGCTGAAGTGTTTTCAACTTTCAAATTTTCCATAGTCTATTGAAGTATGAACTTCTTAGCACGGGGTTGGGATAGGATGGTTTCCTCGCAAGTATGATTACAGGACAAGTCAAGGTGCAATTTTACTCTCGAGGGAAGGTTGTGGCTGTATGACAATAGATGTAAATGAGCAGCTTTAGCACAGACACCTTGATGCTTTACTTACACCTCTCTCTGAGGCTGTTGAAAACTAGGGATGTTATGCTATCGTGAAATTGCGGTTTGATTGGCAGGAATTATCCAAAAACATTTCTTGTTTTTTCTTCCCTGAATGGGAGCAAATGCACCCCATCTTCTCTTTTAGTCGAATTCCTATGACATGTGAGCTAATCAGAGGTTTGTGCTGATTGCTTGGGTCAAAGAACTAAGATAGCATGTCACGATTTTCCTTTGGCAAGGTAGTGATGCACATGTAAATGCAGTTAAGCAGGCATTCTAATAAACGCCATACGTTTTTTCCGTTATTTAATCAATTGGGCAGGTCTGTGAAATAGTGTGCAAATGATGAAAAACCAAGTCCTCTGTCTTCTGTGTATTTTAATATATTGTATGCCGTGTCGTCACTCTTCGCGGACCTGTCATACATTATTTGCAACTTTGCGCATGGTCAAGTCTGCGAGGATCGGATGCATGAAAAGGGCATGAAATGATGGCAGAAAACACATGTTGTTCTCCCAGTTTAAGTTGCCTTCAATTTTTCTTGCCAATTGGTCCATTGAAGTAGAATTCCTCTCGCATCTAGCAGTCTGTCTCTGGCTCTAGCAGTACTTCAGCAACCTGATGTATATTGGCATGGCAGGTCAATGGAATTAGCATAGTAGTTCCGACTTCTTCATCTTCTTCGGGTGCGTTTGGGAAAGGTTTTCCAAGGGGTTTTGGGCATCCAAAGCCCCTTGAGCCACAAAATGTGGTTGTTTGGGAACAATTTTAAAAACCCCATTCAGCAAAAGTCAGCCTTGTGAAGGCTGAAAACCAAGGCAGGTCCTAGGTTGCCTTGGGCTTTCAGCTTTCTCGGCATGCAAGATTCCTAGATAAGTAAAAAATAATTCTTCCAAAACTACTCTCATCAATTTTTTTATTTTATGGTTTTGCCTTCATTTATCACTGTTCATCATCTTCTCTACTTAGCTTGATCGACGTGGTCGTGCATGGCTGTGAGGGGATGGCAACAGGCCGGAGAGGGGCCGGCGTGGTCACACAACCCAATGACCGTCGCTTAGGGTTGCACGACCACTGCGAGGGGCCACGTGACCCAAGCGAGGGCCACCTGAGGTCGCGCGACCTAAACCGCCCTAGCTGGGAACTCGTGCGACCTCAGAGAGGCGCCGTGTGATTCAAGCGAGGCCTGCCTGAGGTTGCGCTACCCAAACGACCCTTGAGGGTTGGACGACCTCCGCGAGGGGTTGCAAGGGTCATGCAACCTCGGCGAGGGGTCGCCTTGGGTCACGCGACCCAGACGACCCTCACTAGGGTCGAGCGACCTCCTTGAGGGGTCATGAGGGTCGCGCGACCCCAGGCAGTCCTCGTTTGGGTTTCACGACCCTCGTCAGGGGTCGCTCGACCCTAGGCAGCCCTCATCGGTGGTTGCCGAGGGTTGCCTAAGGTCGTTCAACCTCAAATGACAGTCACCAGCAGTCGCTTGCTCTTCGCCGGTTCCAGGAAAGGGTTTGAACTTTTTTTTATTAAAAAATAAGAAAAGTCTCTTGCAAGAATAATTTTTCCAAACACTATTTTATCCAAAATTGCTTTGCAATGGACTTTTAAGTTACAATTTAACAAACACAAGTTGCATTTTGGAAAATTCCTTCAACTGAAAGTCCTCTGTATTTTTCCAAAGACTTTCCTCCAAACTGTTCCCAAACGCACCCTTCGTGATCTGAGCTTTTGGTTTGGTCTCATCAACTTTCCCCGTTTGCTAGGTAGGGTTGTCATGCTTCTGTTAAGGAATTAATCTTTCTACTTTGCAGTTCATCCTCTCTCTCTCTCTCTCTACCTATTTTAGGTAGGTCCATCCTATGTTAGCTCTCTTCACATGAGCCGTCGAATTCCGTAGATCCGCCCTTCTACATCCTCCTGTACAGTTGGGTTGAGAGTACCTATCTGGCCGGACGAGCCGGTTTGACTGGTGGGTGGATTGCGAACCAATTCGCTCGAGTGAGATAGAGAAGAGAGAAGGAAGTCTGCTACTTCCCGGCTACATCATTCGTGGAAATGTATATTTCTTACTCCACTCGATGTTGAAAGCGTCTCCCACTAAATCCCGACATTACACGACACGGCGTAGATGCCTCGCCCCACATTAGGATGTTCACTAATATATAGAACAAGATCCACAAGATTTTTTCCGAATAAATTAATGATGACTAATCTTTAGTTGGCAATTACCTCGCTCACTATATATATGGTCTTGCTCCATTAAGTTATTCTCCTGTCTGTGGTCCCTAGACACATGTATCTTTTCATTTAATTCGTTTTATTTAATTATTGTGCATCCTCAGCCAGTATAAATGCGTGAATAAATGAGAACCCATGGTAGCATGCAAGGACCGGAACCGAACTATTATGCTACTTAGAAGGTGGCCCGCACATCTGAATGTCATGGAAACTACGGACATCTGAATGATTTAGATGTAATTAGTGGATGTAATTGTGTAGGGAATACCTGAAGCAAAGGTGGTGTGGATTTTCTTAAACGCGTGTCGCCGTATCGATGCGATGAGAACGTAGAAAACGAGTTGTGAATTTTATAGTATGTCAAAACAGAGCTTAAAACAAAATAAATATATTTATACTTAAAACTCAACAGCATATCTACATTTATACTCTCATAAAACATACGATCGATAGTATTTAGAAAGTTCATGAATATCGTTTAACCTATCATGGAAATAATTGATTATCAGATAGAAGGAATCACGTCATCGATTCTCCTTTTGGTCGAATATACATGATGGAAAAATCCTTCAATTATTTAGGCGACACCAAAAGCGGCAACCCGTGGTTGTGCAGGCGGGTGGCGAAAACGGCTCTTGTAGTGAGGAGAAGGCATGTTCTAGCTATCTAGAATCTTAAATGTCGAACTTCTATACAAACCCTTGGGGGAATATACGCAAGTACTTTCTTGGGTGCTCATCTTATACAAAATTCTTAACTAGTTTTATGAACCATCATTTAGAACTCTATCATTTTTTTAGTGGAAATTATTTTAGGTCTCCCATTAGTCCTAGAAAAAGATGGGAGGGGGGAAAAAAACAAAGAAGGAGGGTTCTAATCCAAACCCACCGGGGACAAATTTCCTCCGTTGACTCTGCCCCCCGGTCAAGCCACGTCCGGGGCGTCGACTCGGAGTCAACCCCACTTCGAACGCCGCCCGCAACGTCCCCGTTTCCACTTCCGGACCCCGACTTCACGCACGCCCGCGCATTGAAGAAAAACAAGGGGAAAATGACACATCCAGTGTCTAAGTTTTTGTCCAATGTATAACGTGATCTTTAAAATTTTGATATGTTCAATGATGATTTTTGAATTTCGATCTAATATACAATGTGGTTCCTGAATTTTTGTTTAATATATGATTACATTAAACATTTTCACATGATTCATGGACTACGTTGAATATATATATACCGAAAATCCAGGAATCACATTAAACAAATTAAAAGCTCATGGACCATATTAAATGTCAGGCTAGAGTTTAGAAATCGATCGCGTTACGTGTTATGTCAAAGTTTATAGACTATTTGGGTCTCTTGAAAAACTGTATCCGAATCCAATCGGCGCGTTATTGCTCCTTACCAAACTCAACTCCTCCTCCTCCCTAAAAAAGAGAACCGAAACAGAGGAGGGAGAAGGAGACCATTTATGATCACCACCACCACCACCACCATCATCATCCTCATCATACAGGTGCTTCTTTGCTTCCATCACACCCCATTCCTCTCCCTCTCTCTCCCTCTCTCTCTCTCTCTCTCTCTCTAGCCCGCAGTACATAACTGACCAACCAAGCAAGGAAGAAAGCGAAGAGATGGAGCCAAAAAGCAATGGGCATGGCGTCTCCCTTTCTTTACCGTTATAGGCCATGAATGCCCTGCTCTGCTGTCTTGCTTCCGCACCAAACTTCCCTCCTGTTCTCTACCCAACCCAGCACTTCCCCCCCTTTCTTTCTTTTTGTAAAATCTCTCGGTCAGTTCCCGCAAACACCCAGAAAGCAGAAACCAGAAACGCCTCTGCTATTTTTCTTGTCACCCTTTCGCGGATGCTCCTCAAGACTCTACCGTTTCAGGAACAGGGCCATGAGAGGATGCCGGTTCTCCAACCCCACAAGAGCTTGAAGCACCTGAAGTTCGTGGCCCAGTCCCTGGGGCTGTTGGCTTTCTCTTTCTTGACGGTTTGTTTCGTCTTCTTCTTCGGTTATTACGTGGATCGCAGTAAGGATGGGGTCGAGGCGGGAACGCTCTTTAGGTACCCTGGCCGAATGGAGAGCCTGGTGTGGTTGAACTTGAAGTTGAACGGCTCGGATGACGTGCAGAGGGTGGATTTTCTGGGGGAGGAGGGCGATGGGTGTGATGTGTTTGAGGGGGATTGGGTCTGGGATGATAGCTATCCGCTGTATCAGTCGAGAGATTGCAGGCTTTTGGATCAGGGGTTCAGGTGCTCTGAGAATGGCCGTCCTGATCATTTCTATACCAAGTGGAGATGGCAACCCAGATGGTGTAACTTGCCCAGGTTCGTGTTTGTGTGCAATTCTTCATCCCCTTTTCTTTTCTGTTCATTGATAATATATGGGATTACAAAGAAGCAAGTTCGGAGCATCTATATGGGGCTGGGACTGGTGTAAATAGCCCTACATGTTACTACAT